TTATTTTAATGTTCTTCCTCTGACAAAAAAAAAAAAGTCTTTGTTAAACAAATAAGTTTAAGATGATCAACATAACATAATCAAAATTCATTGTGCAGCAATTTACTGAACTAAAAATAAATACTATCACTGAATATTTTCTATTAATCTACTCCTATAAAAAAATCTTTTTTTTGTAATAATTAAAACTCTTCCTATTTGTTATTTATAATCAAGTTTTCCTAATTAAAGTTTCCAAACATGCAATGTTTTATTTTGTATCTTAATTTCATATAGAACATACTATAAAAAAATACTGATACAATGTAAATTTGTAACAATTGTTTTTTCAAAAAATAACCTTTAATTTCTTAGCCTTTAATTCCATACTAAGACATTAAACAAACCAAAAAAGTTTTTAACATATTTACAACTTTGGTGTTCAATCACCAAATGAGAATCATTTGATGCTAATAAGAAAACGTCCAGTCGGATTTTTGACAAGACTACGTCTTGTTTATAAAATCGTACTGCCTGCTATGTTATCAGCTTAGAGGTATGAAGGAGTACATGTCAGGAGTTGCAATTTGGCACAAAGTATTAGGTGCCCAAATCAAGCATGCATAAAAAATACCAGACTTGTAGGTACTCAGGGAACCAAGAAACAAGTCAAAATAAAATACAAAATGGCAACTCTCTCTACAAACAGGCAAACTGAAGTCATGTGGTGAGAGTACCACCCACAGTCGTTCTAGGAAGTGGACTCTGACCCTAGGACTGAACACATAGTATTTTCTTTGTTAAATAAAATTTGTAATCTAATTTTTTAAATTTGGGAGTGCTTCAAATATGACATTAAAACAGGATTTTATGTCATTACAAGTAGGTTTTTTAACATTATCTAGTATAGTAAAATTGTGGGACTGATAAAAATTTGACGTTATATTAGGGTTGTCGTTACATCTGATGACGTAATAACTGGGTTAAACTGTATATTGTTTGTGCAAAATAAAAAAAATAATTTTAGGTGATACAATAGCCACGATTATTTTTTTCAAAAATGGGAAATTTTCATTAGGCATCAACAAAAATTCAACCCAGGCCGACATGCAACGGAGAGAAATTTCAAAATTGGATAGGTTAATTTCATCAAAAATTCATGGTAGATGACCTCATGGCTGTGGCCAGCAAAGTTTGAACGATTGCACCCAAAAGCAGTGATACCAAAGAAGATTGGAGAATGAGAATGAGACTCTTCAGCATCAAAGTGATTATGCTTAGTAGTGAGTCTCCGAGACATAGTCTTGTCCCAAATATGGTTTTGCCATTTTAATTGTTATATCTTTTTTATTTACGAGTATATACAGCAATGTACAATGTACATACGATGTTTTAGTTTCACATCGATTAAAGGTGCAGTTGGTTTTTGTTCATGTTGGCCGCTCGTTCAAGCATCTGTTCTTGGGAGCCATCAGTCCAAAAGTGAGTAACTCACTTTCGGACTGTTCAAAGTTTGCTTTTCTCTTCTTTTCCTGCACCCTCTATAACAACCTTCAACACAGATATCAATGTTGTCAGAACTCCCAGCGTGACATCTGCAGACTTGAGTATCTCCGGCATCAGAGGGAGTATAAAGTTGCCATCAAGGCTGCCAAAATGAAATCTTGGAAGGACTTCTGCCACTGCAACAGTGGTGATCCTTGGGGCTTTATCTATAAGTTTTCCTCTGAAAAGATCAGTTCTCATAGCTCCTATCCAGCCTTCTCTATCTGCTAATCTGGCTACTACTGTCCACACTCTTTTTCACCAGTTCTACCCACCGGATATAGAGGATGATGATATTCCCTTCCATAGCAACATTCGCAACAATCATGATCTCTCTAATCTTTCTCCTGATGATCCACCTTTTAGTCATTCTGAGATTCTAGATATCATTCAAAGAGCCAAGGGCATAAAAGCACCTGGACCTGACAACATTACTGTTAACATAGTCAGAGGTCTGTGGCAAAGGCATCCTGACCTCTTCTTTCATCTTTACAATCTCTGCTTAAGCCATGGTGTTTTCCCGATTGCTTGGAAAAGGACTTAGTTTGCGCTGATTCCTAAGGATAAATCTCTGCCGCCAACCACTAGCAACCTCTGCAACATCTCACTTCTGTCTGCCCTGGGGAAAGTCCTTGACAAACTTTTGTGTAACAGACTTTCCTGGCATTTGGAGTCTACCAGATATCTTCACCCTTCTCAATTTGGTTTTAGAAGACAGCATGGCACTGTTGATGCTTTGATGGCCCTTACATCCAAATTATGTAAACTTCTTTCATCATTTAAATATGTTCTGGGTATTAGTCTCGACCTGGAGAATGCTTTTAATTCTGCTTGGTGGCCTCTTATTCTACACAGGCTGCAAGGGAGCAGGTGTCCAGCTAATCTCTACCAGCTAACCAGGAATTTCCTCTCCAACAGGGAGGCCATCTTAAGGTCAGGTTCTAACACTTTTTCCCCATCATTTGGAGTGTGGATGCCCTCAGGGTTCTGATTGTGGCCCTCTCCTATGGTGTATCCTTTTTAATGACTTTCTCTACACTGACTTTGATGAGCATGTTAGTGCTCTGGCTTATGCTGATGATGCTTTCCTCCTTATTCCTGGAAGCTTGAGGCGTGAGCTCGAGACTAGGCTGCTGCTGTCCTTACTGTGGTCAGTGAGTGGGGCAGCTGTAATAAGCTACGGTTTAATTCCAACAAGACCAAAGGTATCGTCTTCACTAAACCTTACTTTCCACATCTTTACTCTCGCAGGGTCGATCCATTCGCATTGTCCCTCACTTGAGGTTTCTTGGTGTTGTCCTGGAGCATAAACTGTCTTGGGGTCTCCACATCCATCAGATTACTGATAAAACCACTTTTATATTCAATAACTTACAAAGGATTGCTAAAAAACACTAGGGCTTAATTATGATGCCTTAAACTGTATTTACAATGCAGTCTTCATTCCCATTATCTCGTATGCTGTGGCTGTCTGGAAAAGTGGTGTCTTTCTCAGTCACAACTACCGCCGTCTTCAATCTGCTCAGCATAGGGCCTTTCTCAGACTCACAAGAGCATATTCTACTGCCTCAAATTATTCTCTTTAGGTCATCAGTAGGAAAACCATCTCTGGATCTTCATTTGAGGCACATTGTTTGTACTTATCATATTAGGAAAGGCCACGACATCATTATGAACTCTACCTCCTATGATGAAGGCACCTATGAGACAGATATACCGTTTACCAACCTTCCTCATTCAGCAGTAAGATGTGGTTTTGACACATCCTTTACAGTTGCTGCTGATTATACAATCTTCACAGATGGATCAAAGAATGCAGAGGGCACAGGTTCAGCATTTGTCATTTTTGCCAATGAGGAAGAAATATATCAGAATTCTGGCATCTTCATCCTAACTGCTCTATATTCCAGGCAGAACTCTGTGCCATTTACATGGCTGTTCAATGGTGTGAAGCTAATCTTACTGGAAGTAGAGTTACAATTCACTCTGATAGTGCTTCAGCAATCAATGCACTTAGGAATCCCAACAACCTTCACCCTCTGGTTAGGAAGATTCTAAACCATATACCTTGTGCTCAAAACTCCTATTCCCTCGAATGGGTGAGAGGTCATCAGGGTGTCTTAGGTAATGAACGTGCAGATCTACTTGCCAGGGAGGCTGCAACAATCAGTACCTCTGGCTCTTTCAAGTATTCAGTGCTACATGCTTCTTTTCTTAAGCAACATTGGAACTACAGCTTGGATCTCTGGCAACAGAGATGGGATAGCTACAGTGGCCTTGCCAGGAACTTTTTTCCATCTATTCATGACCACTTTTTTCACCACTGGGTTATTCCGGACTTTGAAACCACCCAATTCTTCACTGGGCATGGGAGATTTGGGGCTTACTTGCAGAGGTTTGGCAAATCTGCAACGACCATCTGTCCCATCTGTAATTGCTGTGTTGGGGTTGAGCACTATACATACATGTGTCCAATGACTGAAGATGCTAGGTATGAGCTTGCCCTTGGTCTTAGCCAGAGGGTTATTAATTGGTCTTGTGAACTTCATGTCCTTCTTAAGGATAGTGGCACCTACAAAGCATTCAAAAAATTGATTCATAAGTACTGTATAACATATGCTCTGTCATTCATTAAATTGGTCAAGTCTGTCATCGGGCACTATCATCATTTGCTCCCTGCACATTATTGTACATATCATTATTCGTTCTGCTGCAACATATATCTGTGTAATTTTTATTATTACTATTAGTATTGTCTATTTTATACTATTGTAATGTTATTCTACTCTCAAGCTATGTATCATATCGGTTGATTTGTATAGGTCATCTCACCATCTGTACATACTTCTTCTCTATTGTCATACTGTTTATATGTTATCTCTCTGTTATTATGTATATATTTACCTGTGCTTTGATATATCTCTGTATTTAACCCAATTATGCTCTGGCAGTATCGGGAATAAATAAAGTTAAAGCCCTCTATAGGTCAGAATCAGCACAATGCCGATGGGCGCCACACAACTATTTTACAAGAGGACGTAATCATATATATAAAAATAATTGCATGTCTGATCTAAACCTTTATTTTAAAAAAAGTTCTGGTTCAGAGTCCCATTATAAGGGAGAATAAATTTGTCTTAATAACTTAGATAATATGCTGAATATTTTAGAAATAAATCATGATATTTACTACATTATAGAAAATATTGATTTGATACCAACTGGACCAGTTTTTTTTACTATCTTATTTCTCAGTAGTTATATAGCTACAAGATGACATTTTAGATATTATCTATATATTAAAAAAATCAGACACTCAATAAATATGTGAACACAAAGGAAAGATATTTAATTTGCTTTGTATGTAAATAAAAACATGAAAAATTACTTATCAACGGTAGTATTTTTATGGGGCAAAAATTTTCTATTAAATGAATCATATACAATAAAAAAAATCTTATGCTTTAAAAACATACCAATTTTATGTAATTCCTCACAAGCCTTCAATGCTGCTGCCATTTTTGCATGTCGTTTCACACTCATTACATGACTCTATTAAAATATTTTTCAACAATTATTAATGCAATATATTTATTAAATATCAAAAAAAATTATATGAAAAAGGAATTTTTACAATGCAATATAAACAGTGTAAAGTGTAGAACTTAAAGTAAAACTGATCTTAACTTATACAGTAGAACCCCTCTAGTCCGCCCTCGGCTAGTCCATCACTCCAGTTAATCCGACCGTGGTCGAAGTCGAGAAACTTGTCCTGACTTGTTAGTGACTCACCGCCCATCACGTTCTTCTGTGTTCATTACACTATATGTTTTACATTGAGTGTACGTGTACAGTTTTGTGTGTTTTTTCAACATGTCAGGAGTGAAACGTAAACACGTTACTGTTTCATTTAATGAAAAATTAGCAGTGCTACAAAAACTGGACAAAGGGGAATCACTCCAAAAAATTGCCAAGGAACCCAATGTAGGCATTACGACAATAAAAGATTGGAGAAAAAATTGGAAAGACATTGAATCATACACAGTGACGATAGATAGCAAAAACACTCTTAAGAATCAGAAAATGTTGTGAAAGTCTAAACTTGAACTGCTTGACAATGAATTGTGGATGTGGTTCTGCCAAGAAAGAAGGAAGGGAACCCCGATATCTGGGCCCATTATAAAAGAAAATGTAACAGCTTTGCACAAAAAAGTAGAAGCCGGAAGTGAGTTCGCAGCTAGTGAAGGCTGGATTGATCGCTGGAAAACCTGTCATGGCATCCAGTTTGTTTCAATTTCTGGTGAAAAACTATCTGCTGATGCCAAGGCGGCTAAGGAGGTTTCTGTGAAGTTTCAAGAAATTGTCGAAGAAAATGAACTGTTACCTTGCCAAGTTTATAACATAGACAAGACAGGCTTAAACTATAAAATGCTGCCAAACAAAACTGTTGCAGGAATGAAACTTATAAAAGATAGGCTAACCATTGCTCTTTGCAGCAACGCTGATGGTACACACAAGCTTCCTCTGTTCATTATTGGCAAATCTAAGTAGCCTAGGGCATTCAAAAACATAAACTTATCTTCCTTGCCGGTTTATTACTGCAATCAAAAATCTGCTTGGATGGACAGCCATCTTTTCAAATCTTTGTTCATTCCAGCTGTTGAAAAAGACTTGAAACAAAAAAAGCTTCCCATCCGTGATCTATTGCTGTTGGACCATCACATCTATCTGAGAAGGATTTAGTGAAAGGGGACATAAAAGCTATCTTCCTTCCACCAAATATCACATCACTTATCCAACCAATTGATCAGGGAGTGATAGAATGATTAAAGAGGCACTATCGCAGAAAGTAAATTAACTCAATTTTAGAAAAGTCCGAAGAAGGTTGTAACATACAGTTGACCCCCTATAACACGGTAGATACGTTCCGTTTTTTATGAAATTGATGTTTTAGGAGACCTTGCCAATCACAGCCCGACACGTGTGAAGTTTACGGACTATGGCTGTTTGAAAGGTTTTCTTCCATAAAATTAATCAATTCCTAGACTAATTCGACTCAACATTTTCAAAATACGTATATTTTTTTGGGAATAATCCATATAAACTATGTTATAAACAAAAAATTGTAGGATTACTTACTGAGTGTGCACCATTCAACGTCGCCATTGCTTAAGCTTGTTTTCGTCGCGGAGCAGCGCACCAAACAGTGGCTGCAATTTCTGATAAGTTATTTTTCTGCAAAAACTTCGTTGAACTTTGGAGACATCATTAACAGAAATAATTTTTATGGCCGTTGAATAAGAAATGTTTTTTTCACAAGAAATGTATAAAATTAATGCTGTATTAGACTTATGGTACCTAATTTACATACTGTACAGATGATAGTAAACTCAATTTACCTGCCTAAACTCTCCGTAACGTGGCTCTGGACGGTGGAAAGTAGTTTGGCTGCCCGATGACGTTTTACTGAATTATAGGAGTTTTTTCACCATGTTTGTACAGATACCGTTGCAATTTTTTCGCCATCATATAGAAATCCGAACTATAGGAACCCGTGTTATAGGGGGTCAACTGTATTTGAAGCTATAAAATTGCTCAACATCAAAGATGCTATCTATACGATTGCTGAGTCACAGGAGGAACTGAAACCTGATACACTGTGAACATCTTGGCATAAGCTTTGGCCGGAAATTATGACCGAAAGTGACCAGATTGAAGATGAGCAAAACAAAGACATGCAGGAAATCATTAAAGATCTACAAACTGTACAAGTGAATGTCCCTGCCAGTGAAGTTGAGGAGTGGATTGCCCAATGTGACAAAGACTGTGAAACCAGTGAAGAGCTCAATGACAACCAGATTATTGCCGCTGTTTTGGAAAATAATAGTGAAGAAACTGTGAATGAGGACTCTGACGGTTATGATGACAAACCCCCTACCTGGATTTCACACACCAACGCCAAGAATGCTTTTGATATTGCCCTTCAGTACATCGAGCAGAACTCAAACTCAACACCTACAGACATTTTGTGGATCAAGAAACGGAGGAACACTGCAGCTAAGTCTAGAATTTCATCTGCTAAACAAAAATCTATAACTGACTTTTTTCTAAGTAATTTTTTACCATAGGCTACCTTCAATTTTTACAGTATGTAATAAATACATACAGTATTGCTCTTTTTCATTAATAATAACTGCTTTTGTGTGATTTATTGAAATGTTTTTACTGTAGAGAACGATACAGTCATTCTTGAGTTGAAAGATTGTTTATTTTACTTTTTTCTGATAATCCGACCTTTTTTGCATTCCGACTATACCCCCAGTCCCAAAGGTGACGGATTAGAGAAGTTCTACTGTATTAACAAACACTAATAAGACAGCAAGTTAAGAAAGAACATGGGATGATATTTTTAACAGTCTGTGTTATAAGCTTTCTGTCTATAATCTATTATGCTTATATAGTTATTTATTAATTTTATTTGCATTGCTGTTACAATTTTTAGACAAATTACACACCTTCCCATTTTTTGATTAATTCTTAATGCTACCAGAATGTATTTTGGCATTTTCTCACCTGTTTTAGCCAGATTATATAGTCTGTTTTAAACTTTACAATATCAAAATATTAATTTCATAATTTAAAATATTAATTTGTAAAATTTTTAAAATATAAATTATTACAGCTGCCATAGGAAATGATATTTATGTCACAATAATAAAAATATTCACTAAGAAGTCATTGAACACATTAACAGTACCTAATGTTGATTTTCATTTTAAGATCCTTAGTATCAAAGTACAGTAAAACCTCAATTTAACAGATTAATTTGAGCAAGGGATTCTCACAGCTTTAAAACATTAAAGCTGAAAGTATTATAATTAGTGTTGCAACGAATAGTATATTCGGCCTCAGGCCGAATACCGAATATTCGGCTATTCGGCCAAAATATTCGACTTGATTAACGCACGTACGAAAATTGGCGTACAAACTGCATTATGGCAAGGACCCTGCTCTCTAATTGCCCACTGTCACTACGCTTCACCAATCGCATTAATTCTTGACAGTTGTAGCGGACAGACAAGAGCGTCACGGCACTATGTGATAAGTGATGATATCAGATGTGGATAACAATGAAATGACCTACATGTGTAAATAACGGAAAAAGAACAGTGAAGGACCACGAAGTGAAAATGTGAAAATAAATATGAAATTGAGTTGATAACATAATCGAACAAGTCAAGGCAGCTTATTGGCACAAAATTCGCGGGCGTCAATGCCAAACAATTGTTGTCATAGACTTCGGAAAGCTAAATGCTTGTAATGAAAGTCCCTTAGCGTACATGGACGAAAGCCTGGGGCCGTTCCGGCTACCAAGCTGTCTCGAATATGTGAAATCATAACTGAGACTTATACCGACATCCTATCTGTCTCTTTTCTCTGTTATCACCAGGCTATGAGTCACGTAATTGTAAAATGGGAAATCTACGACAGAAAAGTGACTAATCGAATGTATCGTGAGCACGTATTATGATGTATGCATAGGCATATGTGGACTAGAGCAATAGAAAAAACAGAAAGGGAAGAGCAAAGACGAGAACTTAAAAAGAAGGATGGGCAGAGTCAGACCCTCAGATGTGCGACGTACACACGTACACAACATGACACGACACGTACACACCTATTCGTTGAAGAAGAGGTGTGTACGTGTGCTGATCTTTGTAATTATAAATTGTGAATACATGTGACTAATATTATTTTCTTTTTTTATTTTGTGCATGTTATAAGTTATAAATAAATATAAACAAACAACACTAACCTGATAACATAAAATCTAAATACCAAAAGGATTAATTTAATGTGTTTTTGTTATTTCTTACTCCTGTTTTTAGATATTCGGCCGAATAGTGATTAAGTCAAGGGGGGGTCGGAAATTGCAATTAAAATTTGAATTTTTTAAAAATATTTAAAAATATAAGTGTCGCTCATAGTCACCCTACTTTAAACCCTTGTCCTCCCAAGACGTATATGAGAATGTCCCGGGAAATCCGACTCCAGCAGTGTTCAAGGTCAGCCAGCTGTGTAAACAATGACTCATCAGTGTTAAATTTCGCAGAAAGGCAAGACAAAGGAACTTAAACTTTGAAGCTTTTTCTTCAAAATTAATGCATTTCTTTCGTTTTTTTTCAGTTTTAAGTATTTTTTTATGTTTAATTATAATTAATTAAAAATTGATCGGGAACTGAGGGGTTAATTAAACGTGTATATAATAAAATCTATTAATTAAAAAATTAAAAAACTATTGGAGGTGGTTTTTGACATCAGAAAGCAGCTTTAAATAACTTTACCAAAGGAAAATCCGTGCACTACAACTTAGGAACCATGAAATAAATTTGATAAAAAACTCCCATTAAAAAACAATTAAGCCTTAATCGAGCCTTATCAAAGGCTAATTAAAATCGCGATAAAATTTTGAAAAAATTTGGGGACCTAAAAAACATTCCAAAAATTCAAAAAAAAAAATTTTTTTGTCAAAAGTGGCCTTAAGGACCACG